GAAAAGAAAAATTGAGATAATATAAACATAATATGAGATAATATATATATGTATATAGATAAAAATTTATATATATTTATAGAAATATATATATCTATATGTATACTTTACTTGTCAGTTGGGTGTTTGTTTGTAACCTATAAACGTCAAAACGGTTAAGCGGATCGTGCCCAATTTTTTGTGGACCTCACATGACCAAAGGAAAGGTTTATTGATGGTCAGGATTTTAAAAATAAAAATAAAAATAAAATCGCTAAAAGAGCAATAATTAAAAGTCAAAATCGAAGATGGGCACGAAGCACCCTGAAAACATAGTTATATACTTTGCAATTGTTAAACCCCTCCCCACGCTTCTCATCACATTGGTAAGCTGCAGAGCGCTGGCTAATAAAGAGATCTTATCTAAATAGATATTACAGTAAAATGGGTTTCTGTCACATGAAACTTTATTCTAATTTGCTCATCGACCCTTTAAAGGATTAATTCTCGATCATGGATTATTTAAACCATGAGACATACAGGTTGAGAAAAAAAAAACGAGATAAGGGTTGTTTTCCATAACACTATAAACATTTTTGCAGTGTTCTTGTTTTAGGTGAAAAATGTTAAAATAGACTGAACAGAATACAAAAATAGTTTTTGGTCAATCCACGACACAAATCTTTTGGAAAAAAATTATTTTTTTACCTAGATATCAGTATCTGCTTTTTACTAAATTTCATATAAATATATCACATGATAAATAAGAGAGTTATTACAAAAATTCGCGTAAAATAATCTGCTCCAAATCTTACCAAAATTTAAAGAGGTGGCAAAACGCAATTTTCATTTAAAATAATGTTTTTAAGTTTCTAATCCCTTTATTTGAGTTTGCGTCAAAAACTCAGTTCATGTTCAGTAAATACATACTTAGTATGTCCAAAACTCAGTTCATGTTCAGTAAATACATAATTCTTATGTCCAAAACTCAGTTCATGTTCAGTAAATACATAATTCGTATGTAAAAAATTCAGTTCATGTTCAGTAAATACATACTTAGTATGTCAAAAACTGAGTTCATGTTCAGTAAATACATAATTAGTATGTCAAAAATTAAGTTCATGTTCAGTATGACGTTGAAATTTGAAACCTACAGTTTTGAAAAAGCTGATTTATTGGCTCGCATATTAGAACTTACAACTTTTTCTAAAAAACTCTTCAAAAAACAAGCGGTGATTGAAAACATACAAGATTAATTTATACAACGTGGAATTTACTGTAATTCGACATGAGTTACATATTTGTATTGGGGAATGTGGATGAAGCTTTATTTTATTTCTATTTCCCTTTATGTACTAAAATGACCAAAGAGGATAAAATAAAGCCGCTTATTTGATTATTTTATGCGTATCCTCCTTGCAATATGCTTGAGCAAAATCATTAACTGTATCAAGCAACAAATTCAAATAAAATACTTACATAAATACGTACTTACACACTTACATAAATACGTACTTACACACTTACATAAATACGTACTTACACACTTACATAAAATATAAAAACATTTTCGTTGCGGTAAAAAGAATAGACTTCCATGCAGTGATGGCCAGACAAATCTGAAATACGAAGACGACTTTATAGCAATACTTAAGTGTATTTGATATTGTTACAAAGCAATTAGTTTGACTAGACACTTATTTGATCACTAATTAAGCGTAATATGACTGTTTACGATGCACATTTGCTGCATCCCATGTTTACTCAAAGTTATAACTTGAGTCTAAAAATCGTCTTCCTATTTCAGAGTTTTCTGGTTATCACTGTAGGAAAATTTAGTTTTTAACCAAGAAAAAAATATAAGATTCGCGATATTGAATGTACTTAACGAAGGAATTTCGAAATTGCGAATTATTCATTCAAAATTATTTGTATCTCATGGGTAATAATATGTTTGTAACATTTAGGTATCTTTTAAACTATACATCTAAATTTGAACAAGGAACCCAGCTTTGCCTGAACACAAAACGTTCGCTATAAAATCCAACCTTCTCATGACTTAGAACATTCCCCAATCAAAATTTAAGGCAAATCGGTTTAGAGGTTCCCTAGTTATGTTCGGACATACAAACATCCTAACATACAAACAGACATATACGCAGAAATTACAACTTTATATATAGGTTCACAAACCTGATATATCTTCATGTCTAATCACAGAGAAACTATACATGTTCTTTCATCTATAAATGTATGATGAAGTATCTTATACATATCCCATATCAGTAATAATTCATTAGACCACGGGGTGACAGAATAATTGGCAATGTGTGTTCTACTATTTCTATATTTCTATACTAGTTCTATATCTAACACTGCCAATCGTTAATGCATCACGTTGCCCACAGTATCAATCATTAATAAAATCCATCAATACTTGTATATGATGCACAGTGCACACTGGATGCATTAGGTATCAGAAATTAGAATCATTATTATATAAATAGATGTATTTAATTTAGTGTAAAACAGGATGCATTACTAATCATACTGAATCCTGCCTTATGCAACCTGAAGGATGCAGGATTAAAGCTGTCTGCATCATGTAACCTGAAGGATGCAGGATTAAAGCTGTCTGCATCATGTAACCTGAAGGATGCAGGATTAAAACTGTCTGCATCATGTAAACTGAAGGATGCAGGATTAAAGCTGTCTGCATCATGTAACCTGATTGATGCAGTATTAAAGCTGTCTGCCTTATGTAACCTAAAGGATTCAGAATTAATAAAATCTGCATCATATAACCTGAAGGATGCAGAATTAATAAATCCTGCATCATATAACCTAAAGGATTCAGAATTGATAATCTTGCATCATATAACCTGAAGGATGCAGAATTAATAAATCCTGCATCATATAACCTAAAGGATTCAGAATTAATAAATCTTGCATCATATAACCTGAAGGATGCAGAATTAATAAATCCTGCATCATATAACCTAAAGAATTCAGAATGAATAAATCCTGCATCATATAATCTGAAGGATGCAGAATTAATAAATCCTGCATCATTTAACCTCAAGGATGCAGAATTAATAAATCCTGCATCATATAACCTACAGGATTCAGAATTAATAAATCTTGCATCATATAACCTGAAGGATGCAGAATTAATAAATCCTGCATCATATAACCTAAAGGATTCAAATTGAATAAATCCTGCATCATATAATCTGAAGGATGCAGAATTAATAAATCCTGCATCATATAACCTGAAGGATGCAGAATAAATGCATTCTTGGAGAATATATAAATCAGGTTGTAATACGTTGTAATTTGCAGACATTTATTTTTCCAAATTTACTAAATAAAACCCTCAAAAAAGCATTTATATCTTATGGGGGAAAACAAGATATACACCCCTGTCAGTACAACCAAAAATCTATTATTTATTGCATTGAATTTAATTGATTTTCTATTTAAATATCCCAGTTTTTATTAAAGCAATTAAAGCAGGAGGGAGGGAAAATATTCTACCTAAACTTGATATACATTTATACAGGAGAACGGGTGTAATGCAGAAAATGTAGGAATTAGGAGGAATATGGAAATGTAGGCTTTAATAGGATTAAGACAATGCAGGGTTTAGGAGAATTCAGAAATAGAAAAAAATGAAGTGTTCAGAAGAGCAATAATTAATGTAGGGGTTCATAAAATTTAGGGCTTAACTGGTTTCCATAAAACCCTTCCCCTCCTAATGAATAAAAAACTCCCCTCCCCCCTTTCATTTTGTGTTCACGCCTGGCCAATATTAAACTTTTCATTGATTAAATGCAGAAACAAAATTTCCTCAAATTTACTTGTTAAAAAAGAAAATTGCACTTTTCTGCTGAATGTAAGATAGATCAAATTGCAAATGGGAACAGTAGGTTTCAGAATAATTTAGATCTTGCATAGAACTTAAAATTGAAATTAAACATTTCGTAGAAGATAGGGTTTCACCCTTTTCAGGCTGACGTCTCATCCCCCCTTTATTTCCTTATTGTGATACAAATCTATAACATTTGACACATTTTTGGAAAGCCCTTGGTCTTTACTTTGATAGTCTGCAAAAAATGTGCAAATTTGTAAAATTTCAAATACTTATTGCAAAATCAAGTTTTTTATTAAAAATTGTGCAAATTTAAAAGTGGACAAACTATGATATATTATACATTTTTAAAAAGCCATTGACCCAGCGAATTCACATATACAAAAATATTTTCAAGGAAATCTGAAAATGTGAAAATTTCCTTTAAATGTGTTGATGCTCAAATCTACGCAAAATTGTTTAGCAAAAATTGTGCAATCTGCTTCCTTTTGCAAAAGACTTTTTAAAGGGCAATAAAATGCTATAAACCGATGAATGGAAATTGGTCTAAATATTGATCAAGTTTGAAAAAGGTAAATTAAGGCATTCAGGCAGTATGCTTGAGGACTCAGGCAATAGTTACCTCGCTTTAAGCCTAAAGCGAGGGGCATGCGTTAGATGAACAACTTTAGACAAACACTTTTTTAGTTTGTCCAAAAAATGTTTAGGGGAGGGAGGCGTCCCAGGAACACCCAGCTGGAATAGGGTTTTTAAACATATAACTTTTTTTTTTAGTTTTTAACAAATTAATTAAACAAGGTGCTCACACCTCTGCACACACCCCGTCACAATTCTTGTTGTACTTCATTTTCTGCACTATACACTCTTGTTTTCCAATGTTTTATTTCCTGTGCTTCAATTTTCCATTATGTTCTTGTTTAAATTTTGAAAAGGAAGTTTTTTTGGACGTCCCGATAACAACCAATATGTTTTTGGTTCTTGAATTTTGTTGTATACAACCTGTTCCTACACTCTACATGTAGTGTATATGTGTTTTGTTTGATTACTTGTAAACTTGTAATTAACAATCAAAACTTAAATTGAAAAGTCGTCTTCTTTGTATTGATATGGTTGCCAACCACTGTAGTATATATCTATATATATTTTTTAGAATAGCTGACGACTCTGATTCTGGAAATATCGCTCTGTCTCCGGTTTTGAAGAGACATAACGCATACCTTGTTCATAACGAGACATTCTACTGTGATCAGAAGGACGAGTGGAGAGGTTGGATACTTTTATAAATCTACCTTTTATAGATGTTTTCTATCCTAGTAATGTTGGATACTTTTATAAATCTACCTTTTATAGATGTTTTCTATCCTAGTAATGTTGGATACTTTTATGAATCTACCTTTTATAGATGTTTTCTATCCCTGTGATGAATTGGATACTTTTATCATTCTACCTCTTGTAGATGTTTTCTATCCTAGTAATGTTGGATACTTTTATAATTCTACCTTTATAGATGTTTTCTATCCTAGTAATGTTGAATGCATTTATAATTCTACCTTTTATAGATGTTTTCTATCCTAGTAATGATGGATACTTTTATAATTATACACTTTGTTTTCTATCCTAGTGATGTTGGATACATTTATAATTCTACTTTTTAAAGATGTTTTATATCCTGTTAAAGTTGGATATTTTTATAATTATACACTTTGTTTTCTATCCTAGTGATGTTGGATACTTTTATAATTCTACATTTTAAAGATGTTTCTATCCTAGAAATGTTGGATACTTTTATACATGTATAGTTTCTCTAATGAAATATTTGTGTTGTCACCAAAGGATAAATTATGTTATTGAAACACTGTGTTGTCACCAAAGGATAAATTATACTATTGAAACACTGTATTGTCACCAAAGGATAAATTATGTTATTGAAACACTGTGTTGTCACCAAAGGATAAATTATGTTATTGAAACACTGTGTTGTCACCAAAGGGTAAATTATACTATTGTAACACTGTGTTGTCACCAAAGGATAAATTATACTATTGAAACACTGTATTGTCACCAAAGGATAAATTATACTATTGAAACACTGTGTTGTCACCAAAGGATAAATTATGTTATTGAAACACTTTGTTGTCACCAAAGGGTAAATTATACTATTGTAACACTGTGTTGTCACCAAAGGATAAATTATGTTATTGAAACACTGTGTTGTCACCAAAGGGTAAATTATACTATTGAAACACTGTGTTGTCAACAAAGGGTAAATTATGTTATTGAAACACTGTGTTTACACCTAAGGGTAAATTATATTATGGAAACACTGTGTTTACACAAAAACACCAAAGGATAAATTATATTATTGAAAAACTGGGTTTACACCAAAACACCAAATGATAAATTATATCATTGAAACACTGTGTTGTCACCAAAGGATAAATTGAATTATGGAAACACTGTGTTTACACCAAAACACCAAAGGATAAATTATATTATTGAAAAACTGGGATTATACCCAAAGTTAGTTATTCACTTTGGTTTATACAAATTAAATGAAAAATGTATTACTGGACCTAACCCAGGGGGCCAGGGGAGGATTTATCGAATCTGAGAATAACAAAAAAAAATACAAAAATCTTTTGGTGGGTGCGGAGCGCCCTAATATCCTAATATATAGACCACCCCCTGCACCAGTACACATGTTATATCTTCTATCTAACTTGCAAGATTTATTATCAAGAAGTTTGTGTGTAAACAAATCTATGAGTACTGCAGATGTTAGAGAAAAAGAATCATTGATTACTGCTATTTCTCAACTGTCCAATTGTTGATAAACCAGATTATTTCCGCACTTACATATCTGGAATATTTCAGGCATACAAGGGACTGTTCAGTTATTTAAAGATGCGTACATGCAAGCGCACATGTAGCAAATATCGTATAAACATGATATGCTGTAAATCTGCAGTACGTTGTACATTATTAACTGTTTATGTCGTAGACTTATACATAATGACATTATTCATGAAATTGCGTACGTAGCATGATTAGATTAAATCATGTGATATACTCAAATTACGCTATAATAAACATGTGTGGAGATAGCTTAACTACGTTATATCTATTCTTTCTAATCTTTTAAATACACATAGATAGAGAGAGTACATATTTAGCGCCAGCAAGCAAGAAAGACAACGGATTAAAGGCAGCCAGTTTAAACCAAGAATCAAGCAAGGATCATCAGTTACAGGAAACACATAGAACTAGAAGTAACGAGATAGTTTCTGCAATAATGTCACACATCGTAATGTTGTTATCATAGTGCTTCTGGCTGGTTTTGAATTTGGAGTAGGCCCCAGACTGAAAGGAAAGCAGCCACCGTCTACAAGTCCATGACAGTGAAGACAGTGCAGAGAAGTAAATTCTATTCTGGGTAAGCAAAAAAATGTGAAAGCAGAATGAGTAAAAAGATTAACGAGAAAACTGAGACAGAAGAAGAGCACAGCGAATTAGCTGAACCACAGAATGCAGTGAGGGCCGAACAGTCAGTCAGCAAGGACCTAGACTCAAGTATAGACCTGGAGTCAGACATAAATCTGGAGAGAGGTAGACATAAGGAATATGTACATCAAGATGAGGTACAGAAAGAAGATGCACAGAAAGAAAGTGTATGGCAAGAACAGAAGTGTCATAATCAGCATAAATAAGAGTGCAACACTGTTCAAGTGCTCAAAACCTCCCTCATTCCAGAACAAAAGTGCCAAGGTTTTCCCAAGCAGAAGTGCCAAACAGAGTATTGAAAGAAGTGCCAGACACAATACGAACAGTAGTGTAACACCAACTTCAACGAAAAGCATACCATCAAAGATGAAAAGGATTATAAGACGAGATACAAGAAGAATTATTCTAAGACACATGGAACAGGACTGCGGCATGTTACAAGAGAACCAGTTGGAGACTATGAATGGCAAACTGTCATGTGGTGTTAAGGTGCAAGTGCTATAATAACCTCAAGAAGGTGTGCAATATCTATGGTGATGAAGTGCTCTCCATGCAGTGCAAGGATTTACCCCAAAAAAAATGTTTTAATGAACCTAGACACTAGACAGCCCTTTAAACTGGTGCAAAAGGAAAAGGTTGGGATTAACCTTGTCAAGTATACTAGAATATTCCCAAGATGGTTCCAGAATGTACCACAGGAAAAATATTTTAGACAAGCCTAGAGAAGAATGACATGATGGGCCATGAGAAGAGTGACATGAGGTTCTCAGTGGGTGTACTGACTAGGTCTCTGTGCAAGAATGTTAAGGAGGTCTACAACAGTGTACTCAAGTTAAAAAAGAAAACAAGAGTAGAATATATGAAGATGTGGAGTTGCTGGAAATGAAGAAGTTTGATGAAAATAGGGATAGATAGCCCTATTGTTCAGCACTTCCCTTAGCCCCCCATTTGTTTCAAATATTGTAGCAATCCCCATATTTGTTAACCTGAACATACCTTGATATATTATGTTGTATATTGTCTGTAAATCTTAATGAGCTTATCTTAACTAAGCAAAACTTGTAATGCGATAAACATAGCCTAGCTACATCTGTAAATACATCAAAACCTGTATTGTGATTAGCTTAACTACACTTATATATATCTGCGCTAATCTTGTAAATATGTACTCTAAAGGTAAAAAGAGGTCAAAGTGTTTCAATCTTTGCGACAATTAAAGGAACAAAAGCTGTATTAAGATTATATTGCATAAAACAAAATAATTAAAGGCAAACATATGTTACAATTCTACATAAAGGGGATTGAGGACTGGATCTGGGACTCTCAGATTTGAAGACTCGGACTCTTGGATTTATAGACTCTGGCACCTCTTGAATCTGGGCTCTCAGCTGGACTCTTCTGTGACTCTTGGCTTTAGAACTCTGACTTTCTGGACTTGCAGCCTTCAAAGTCAGGCCCCACATGGTAACCCTCATGACCCCTCCTTCTCGAAGCAGGAAGGGAGTTGGTTCCTCTTTCTAAGAGGCTTTCATCGCAACTGACCTTATTCTTTGTTAGGTCTCCTTTTATATCCTGGCACCCCACCTTTCTCCCCTATCCATCCTGGCTGGTCATTTCTCCAAGGGAAGGGGGGTCAGCTGCAGGTGCAGGTTTAGTTGACCATCTTTGGCGACTTCTATGGTCCTGTTTTATCAACACATTCCAATTCTTGATTCCTATTAACAGGGGTGAGGGGGGGGTGTGTGTGGTCTACATGACCCCTTAGAGTGAGGGAGGGGGATGGCTACAGTACATTAAACTTAACCTGTAACATAGATATATAAATACACGCCAGTTGGAAGATACTCCACTTAGATTACAGTGAGAGAAGTAATCGTTCCTCATTTTGCAAATGAGTTGATAGTTTACGAGATTGTGTCCGGTTTGGCATTAATAGTTTAAGATTGTGCCCAGTGTTTGACATTGATAGCTCAAGAGATTGTGTCCGTTTGACATTGAGAGTAAAGTGAGATTGAGTTGTACCTGGATAGATACGGGTTTGAGAAACCCTTATGGAGTAGGGCATTTACTATAAATATTAATCTTATTTTTGCATTCAGCCCCTAACTTTTATAATTTGAATTACAAATTAGGTTTCTTGATAGAAGTCATTTATTTCTAAAGATCGCTGCATGCAAAACATAAAAATATAAAATACTAGGCTCCCAGTGAGCACTACTCTTCGAATACATTTTAACAAAAACAAAAAAAGTCGCGGATTCTATAAAAAAAAAATTTCGTGGATTTTTAAATTTAATAAAAATCAAATTTTGTTTGAAGCAAATTTTTGAAATTTTTATCATCTACAAACCTTCTCTGTGGTCAGTGAGGTCCCACAAAAAATTGGCCCGATCGGTTCAGCCGTTTTGACGTGTATTGGATAAAAACAGTTTACATTTTTAAACCTTTGAAACATATTTCCGATCGATTGATATCAATGAGAGGTATGTAGCACTAAAAGTAAGGAAGTTTAAAGTTTGGCTAGGTTGAATTCATATATGATTGATATCAATGAGAGGTATGTAGCAGTAAAAGTAAGGAAGTTTCAAGTTTGGCTAGGTTGAGTTCATATATGATTTTCATTTAAGAATTTTAAACATATTATGGAATTTTATAAGGGTCTGAAAAACATGCAAATCTTAAACAAATCTTAAAATGCAGTTATTGCTGAATAATGGCAAGACCTCAGTTTACAATGCAGGAAAGTAATAATTCCTTGCTGTTGAGTACCACAAAAAAAGTGTCACAGAACTAAACGCTATGCCTAGTCTTATCATGGACTTTGGGCGCAAAGTTCCCAATGCATGACAGCCTGATTTATAGTCATGAAAGAAGAATTTATAAAAAGGTTATAGAGTAAGGGACAGTATTCAATGTGAATAGTAAGACGAGTCTTGGAAATTCATCCAGTGGAAGATCCAGACATGTCAGATCTGTTGTCAAGGTTGGTGCAGTAATGAACAGGGATGTTGCCAAACACATTGAATCTGGAAATACTTCTCCTACGAGTTCTGTAAGGAGAAACTCTTCAATGTTAAGCAAGTCTAGCTGGTCAAGGATATCAACTGATATGAAATATCACCAATATCGGCCAATCAGATGGGAGAAACTTAAACCTGAAGATTTACCAAGAATTTTGAATTTGAATGTAACCGGATAAAATTGGTTTTCTCATACTCATGCGTAAATGCAAAGCTGGAGGAGCTATAAGGTCACAAAGTTGTTCCAGTGATGTAGCATAAAAGTTACATTCTCTTTTGTCTAGTTTGCAGTGCAAAGGGTGAGATAGGTGAGACTTTAATGACAAAACCTTTTTAAAGGAATTGAGTCTTTGCAACTAACTCTGATTTTCTAATCCCTATATCTTTAGATTCCAATGTCGTAAACCTTTGATATTTCAAACTATGAGTTCTATTAGATCAAATAATATAAATTTGAAATATCAAAGGTTTATGACATTGGGTTTCAAAGATATAGGGATTAGAAAATCAGAGTTTGTGGCAAAGAATCAACTCCTTTGACAATGTGAAGGTTAAATTGTATGTTCCGTTTTCAATATTTTATTTTAATATGGTTCACTAAAAAGTTTCCCCAGAAAGAATCTAGCTTTTACCTGAAAGAAAAAGGACTAAATTTATTTCGTAAAATCGTGCCTAAAGTCTCATTCTTTGTCGGATAAGCTGCAAAAAGATATTTTTCTGGGTTTAAAGTTTTAATGTTGAAATTTGCCACAAACTCTGATTTTCTAATATCTATATCTTTGAAACCCCTTGTCAAAGACCTTGGATATTTTAAACTATGGATTCTGTTAGATCAAATAATCTAATTATTATAGGTTTAAACGATCAGATGGCAAAGTTAGAAAGGCCAGAAAATTAGAGTTTGTGACAAAGACTCAATTATTAAAAAATTGTTTATTTTTAAAATTCGGTGATGGTGATGGACCAAACCTCTGTAAAGTAAAAAAGGAGATGTTAGTTCCACATTTATTAAATGTTGTTGTTTATGTTGTTTATAAGACTACTTCTGCAGCAGAATATAATCTTGGATAAAAAGTTGTGTAGAGAGAGAAGGAAGGAAATAATAGAAAATTACATGTCTATATATTTCTTCTTCTATACAGGAAATAATAAAGATAAAATCTGGCATTATGAGGATATAGGTACTTTAGTATGTGATACAAATAGAGTGAGAAGAAATTTCATAAATCGGGAGGAAAAGGGGGGATTGAAATTTTTGTATATGAACACTTTTTTCTAACTTTACAGAATTTCGGAGCATTCAATATTCTAGTGCAATAGAACAGGCTGGCTAATAAAGTTATTGAAATTTTTTTAGGACGACCTTATCTTGGTCTTTTTCACCTTAATTCTAGTTATAAATTGATTTAGAATAGTAATTCCAATAATTAGTGTTTTTTTCAGGAATAATCTTGGTGTCGTCTTCGTTTCTGACCTTTTGGTTTGAATGGAACGCGGTGCCTGCGCGCACTATGCTGGGAGTAACTACCATGCTCAATTTCTTTACTACTTCGAATGGGTAAGGCCGGACGTTGCAGTAAATTCGATCAGTCATGTTTTGGTTTTCTGTCAAATCTGCCTGTTTTGTTATCGGTAAAATTTTCCATGTCATAAATGCTTGGTTTGGCTTAATGTCAATTCTTACTTTTAAATTTTCCTTTAAATCTGACTTATAGTTTTTTTCTTCCTGTTTTCTGTTTTTTTTTTTTGGGGGGGGGGGAGGGGCAATCTGTTTGATTTAGTTTTCTTATAAATATGTCTTTTCAATTTCAGGCCAAATCTACCTTTTTAGTTTCCGGTCAAATCTGTATTTTGAATTTCTAGTCAAATCTGTATTTGTAGTTTCCGGTCCAATTTACCTTTTTCGTTTCCGGTCAAATCTTTTTTTAAAGTTTCCGGTCAAATCTGTCTTAAGTTTCCGGTCAAATCGGTCATTTTAGTTTCTTGTCACATCTATATTTTAAGTTTCCGATCAAATATATGACTTTTAGTTTCCTGTCAAATCTGTGTCTTTTTAGTTTCCGGTCAAATCATCTTTTAAAGTTTCCGGTCAAATCTTTTTTTTAAAGTTTCCGGTCAAATCTGTCTTTTAAGTTTCCGGTCAAATCTGTCATTTTAGTTTCTTGTCACATCTATATTTTAAGTTTCCGATCAAATATATGCCTTTTAGTTTCCTGTCAAATCTGTGTCTTTTTAGTTTCCGGTCAAATTATCTTTTAAAGTTTCTGGTCAAATCTGTCTTTAAAGTTTCCGGTCAAATCTGTCTTTAAAGTTTCCGGTCAAATCTGTGTCTTTTTAGTTTCAGAACAAATCATCTTTTATAGTTTCCGGTCAAATCTTTCTTTAAAGTATCCGGTCAAATCTGTCTTTAAAGTTTTCGGTCAAATCTATTTTTTTAGTTTCCGGTCGAATCTACCCGTTGTTTCCAACCTGACCGCCATGAACCTATGGGATGCCACCTGTATGTTCTTCATCTATACTTCATTCCTCGAGTTTGTCGTCATGAACTATTTAGCCAGGTAAAGTGAACCAGAGCGGGAAACTCTTGGATTCTCGAGATCAATGCTTAATATTCAGATTAATTTAATTTTTTTTTGATATCCATGAAAGTGTTTAAAATTCAATTAATAAGAGAATTAAGCAAAAAATCAAAAGCAGTGGATATCGAGACTTAAAGTGAACAGGATTAAGGGTATCCAACACAAGAGTTTCCTGAGCTGAAAACTTTAGAAAGAGATATCCTTAATCCCGATCGGGAGGAAAACAAGCATTATTTCATCTCGAGATTAAAAAAAAGAGTGGATCAAGTATTATTCCCGATAACCACCATTCAAAAGTTCCCAGCTCAGCTCAGACATCTTTAGATTCTGTCTCCAGATTTTACCATAAATATGTAACACTTAAAAATTATACACTATCCTTGATAAAGAACAATGGAAACGGAAATACCGAATAAACTTATTAAACACAACAAAGCACTATTGGATATTTTATTGTAAAAATGAGAAAAAAAATAGGTGAGAGCTCTGCTGTGACTTCTAGATAATCTGCAACCCCTTCATTAAATACTGGTACAAACAATTCTTTCTGAGAGACCAAATTTAAAGAATTTGAACAACGTCTAGACGCGGTTCTAACATGAGAAGTAGTTCAAACATGGTGGGTTTAACTTGAAATTTTAATCAGCATAGCGAGATTTGAGCTAGGGCACAATTAAAGCGTTTTTCCAAACACTGTTTTAAAACAAGTGGAAAATTGGAATATGGAAAATTTCACAAATTTGACAATGAAAGGGCCCGGCGTTGCATATTTATAGTTATTCCCGCCATTTACCACCAGTGTTTGGTAATAAATCATCACTTTAGATAAAGTGCACGGCGTTGCCCGTGGAATTTCGAAACTGGCAAAATAATTTTATCCATGTAACTAGGCCCTTCCCACCCATGGGTTCCCTAAAAAAAATGTTTGTCAATTTGGTCAAGACGTTTGGTTAGCTTGCAAACATATTTAAAAATATATAAACATACTTATATTTTAAATAGAGATACAATCATTTTCCATAATTAGATTTGATGTACTAATAATGATTTAAAATAATGATTTTTATTTTTACATCATGCAAGCTTAAAATATACTTACACGTAAATACACTTTATCGCAAGCAAATATTTACTAACTTTTATAAAATTTCTCTCTCAGCTCAAAAACTCTCTTACTGTTCTTCTACAGTCATACTAAGATTATTCCCTTGTATGGTATCCAAGTTAAACCGACCTTAACCCATTAATATCAGGATATTTCATAATATCTTTGCCAAAATGGTTCAAGTCCGACCCTTATATCATCCTTTACATTTATACTTTGCTCAACCTTCCGTGTTTTCTTAAACATGCCCTTTTACAAAAAGTAATTCCTTAATTCTTTCCTTGTATCCTTATATCCTTGTATCCTTGTATCCTTGTATCCTTGTATCCTTGTATCCTTGTATCCTTGTATCCTTGTATCCTTGTATCCTTGTATCCTTGTATCCTTGTATCCTTGTATCCTGGTATTCTTATATCCTTGTATCCTTGTATCCTTGTATCCTTGCATCCTTGTATCCTTGTATCCTTGTATCCTTGTATCCTTGTATCCTTGTATCCTGGTATTCTTATATCCTGGTATCCTTGTATCCTTGTATCCTTGTATCCTTGTATCCTGGTATTCTTATATCCTTTATCCTTGTATCCTTGTATCCTTGCATCCTTGTATCCTTGTATCCTTGTTTCCCTGTTTCTTTGTATTCTTATGTCCTTATTTATTTGTATCCTTGTTTCCTTGTATCCTTTTATCCCTGTATCCTTGTATCCCTGTATCCTTATATCACTGTATTCTTTTATCCCTTTATCCTTATATCCCTGTATCCTTATATCACTGTATCCTTATATCCCTGTATCCTTATATCCCTGTATCCTTATATCCCTGTATCCTTATATCCTTGTATCTCTGTATTCCTGTATCCTGGTNAAACTAACTACAACGAAGTGGATCCTGGATCACGTAAAACTATCTACAGCGGAATATTTTCAGTCCTTTTATGATTTCTCAATCAAAACACTTCAAAAATGGCGCAAATTTCTTAAATATATAGTCCAACAAAAATATGTAATTATAGCAATTAAGAACAATCTAAATTTAATGGGTGTAAATGGGTTTCTTAAGTTACCGTGGTCCGTCAGTTATTCTAGATTTTTTTACAAAATAAATAATTAATCAAATTTTTTTTAGCTCTTAAGTGTTGGATGAATAAAGATTCCTTGATACTTGCTGCAGGAACTTCAAATTATATTCTGAAATAAATACCAAGGGAATTTAATCATTTAATTAAAATATTTTATTAATTTAATTACGAGTTTAATTAGATTAATTCTTAGATTCTGTATTTGGCGTAAATATCTTAGAATTTATTAAAATTATTGAACATAATTTTGAGATAATATCTTTATGTTTTGTTCAATGAATTCATATACTTAGTTAAAACCAGCTAGGCTTCGGCAAAAAAATCAGGAAAATAAAGATCCATCATCAGGCATCACGACAGACCACCCTGCCTATCTAGACCAAAAGGGATTTACTAAACATACAACTGCATATTGCTGTATAATTTGCATTAAATAATCTATTTATCTAGATGGGTCCAGGATCCAGAGATACAGAAAAGGAAGAAAGATAATGCAATTTTAGACGTAGGATTATTATTATTATTATTATTATTATTATTATTATTATTATTATTATTATTATTATTATTATTATTATTATTATTATTATCATATCCGAATTAAGATTCCAAAGTTTCAACTAATCTTTTCTGCCTTGAGAGAGATTATTCGTTTCCTCATGCAACTTTAAAAAACAAAATTAGAACCCTTTTCTCTTTGCTAAACACAACTTCTTTAGAATAAAATTTAAAATTTTACTTTTTTATATTCAGAGGAGTTTGATTAAGAAAACTGGATATCTTGTATATAAAGTTGTAGTTTCCGTTTGTTTGTTTGGATGTCCGATCATAACTCAAGAACCCCTTGACGCGGGTAAACGGTGGGAGTTAGTATTTGTACCCTGGGTTAGCAACGAACTAAAATATTCAATTAAAAATTATCAGATTATGCACTTATTGTTTTAGGAGGCAAAACAAAGAATCCCAGCCGGGGACGGGTTAAGAAGGGTCGGAGGCAAACCTGGATATACGTCACACCAGGTAAATCAAGGTCGGAGGCAAACCTGGATATACGTCACACCAGGTAAATCAAGGTCGGAGGCACACCTGGATATACGTCACACCAGGTAAATCAAGGCCGGAGGATACCTGGATATACGTTACACCAGGTAAATCAAGGTTGGAGGCACACCTGGATACATGTCACACCAGATAAATCAAGGTCGGAGGCAAACCTGGATATACGTCACACCAGGTAAATCAAGGTCGATATACGTTACACCAGGTAAATCAAGGTTGGAGGCACACCTGGATATACGTCACACCAGATAAATCAAGGTCGGAGGCAAACCTGGATATACGTCACACCAGGTAAATCAAGGTCGGAGGCACATCTGGATACCCTTCACACCAGGTAAATCAAGGTCGGAGGCAAACCTGGATGTACGTCACACCAGGTAAATCAAGGTCGGAGGCAAACCTGGATACACTTCACATCAGGTAAATCAAGGCCGGAGGGAGACCTGGATACACGTCACAACAGGTAAATCAAGGCCGGAGGTAAACCTGGATACACTTCACATCAGGTAAATCAAGGTCGGAGGGAAACCTGGATACACTTTACATAAGATAAATCAAGGCCAGAGGGAAACCTGGATACACTTCACATAAGATAAATCAAGGTCGGAGGGAAACCTGGATACACTTCACATAAGATAAATCAAGGTCAGAGGGAAAGCTTGATATACTTCACATAAGATAAATCAAGGTCAGAGGGAAACCTGGATACACATCAGGTAAATCAAGGTCGGAGGGAAACCTGGATACACACCAGGTAAATCAAGGTCGGAGGGAAACCTAGATAAATAATATGGTGCTTAATTGAATTTATTCAGTTTTTGTTCATTTTGGTAATCAGCCAATCAAAATTATGAATTCATTTTACCCTGCTGCAATTCAATTAACATTTTAATAAATCTTAATTTGCCCTTTTATTTAAACAAGAAATTACAATAAGACACGGTTATCAAAGTATTATTTTGTAAAACTGCGGAAGTTTGAATAAGTTCTGATGATGTTCTTACTGTTTTAAAAGTAGTACAGTGCTAGGAAAGGAAGGGGAGGGGTGAATGGGTTTAAATGAGATTGAGAAAAACTTGGGAAGGTTATGTGTAAAAAGATTAGGTAAAAGTTTCCACCATTTATAAGATACATGTTAATACTTGCTTTGTTTTCTTCAAAACTTGGATCATTACAACTTTTTCAATATTTTATCAGGTTTTTTTTTCATATTTTTCACAAGAGCTGGATTTTTATTCAGATTTTTCATCAGAGCTGGATTTGTGATGATATTTGCAAAAATATTTTTTTGTTTATTTTGCTAGTTTCTTCTCTCAGGGTATTTATTATTGTTTTCCATTGGGTTCCTCAAACTTTAAACATAAATCAATATAAAACAGACATAAAACATACACACTACATAACACCTACATATATACATACACACTACATAACACATACATATATACATACACACTACAAAACACATACATACATACATACACACTACATAACACATACATTCATTAAACAGTCACACTACATAACACATACACACATTAAACATACACGCTACATAACACATACATACATGAAACATACACTATATATCACATACATACATTGAACATACTCGCTACATAACACATACATACATGAAACATACCCTATATATCACATACATACATTAAAAATACACGCTACATAACACATTCATACATTAAAAATACACACTACATAACACATACATGCTTGAAACATACACGCTACATAACACATACATACATTAAACATACACACTACATAACACATACATACATCAAACATACATACTACATAACACATACATTCATTAAACAGACACACTACATAACTCATACATACATTAAACATACACACTACATAACACATACATACATTAAACATACACACTACATAACACATACATACATTAAACATACACGCTACATTACACATACATACATTAAACATAACTCTACATAACACATACATACATTAAAAATACACACTACCAGGCGCGTAGTGGAGGCTTAGCCTACGGGGGGGGGGACACTTTTGGCTCGCGTAAGCGCGCCAACAAAAATTTTATGCACCCCCCTAACGTTTGATCTGCACCCCCTAACGGTTGACGTGCACCCCTCTAACAAACCGGTATAAAGAAATAAATAAAGTTTAAAATCTATATCTATCTACCTGAAGGCTGACTATTTGAGAAATAATCATAAAATGGACAAATTGTGACATTGTCGATTGATAANATCAATGGTTTACATTATCAGGTTGTAAAGATATAGGGACTAGAAAATTGGAATTTGTGGCAAAGGCTCAATTGCTTTGCTTTAATTTCAGAGAATTAAATAATTCCTCAAACAAAAAGTCTAAACATTGAAAGTTTTTGTTAAAACATTTTAATTTTCAACTTCAAAAGAAGAGATAATTGTTAATTGGTAAATGGACCAACTAATTAAAAACACACCAACTAGATGAAAACACTTTACTTTCATCGAAGAGTTTTTCTAATATCTTTTACTACGAATTCTTTATTATTTTACCCTTTTTGATAAATATGTACTTATGTGATTCTAAAACTTTTGCCAAATAATTATGCCTTAATGCAGAGCTGCCTCAATCTAGAAAAATCACATTTATAAAAAAAAAAAATTTCGTGACCATTACAGACGGATTTTTGTAAAATAAATATAAAAATTTTATTAAATGATTTTTTCCTGATAGCACTTATTTTGTCTTTGTATACATTGAAAAATAAAAACAAAATAACTTGAGGATTTAAAAAAAAAAATTTCGTGAATTTTTAAAATTTAATGTAGATTGAATTTTGTTTGATCATCTATAAACCTTCCCTGGTGACATGAAGTCCCACACATTGTTTGGGTTTGACAGGTTAAACCGTTTTGACGTTTAATGGATACAAACAAACAAACAAACAAACAAACAAACAAACAAACAAACAGACAAGCAAAGTATATATATATAGATCTGATTAACATTGAACATTTCTAATAGAAAAGAGTTTGGCTCTAAGTTGGTCGTAAACTCAAGCAAATTAAAAATCGAAAATATAAAATCCTGACTCAAAGTTTACATAACATAAAACTGGTCATAAAACCATAAACTCTATTTTGTCAAATTAGAAGAATTCTAGTTATAGTTAGTTCTAATTGTTAAAGGGAAAACATTATTTTGTGATTTTTTTCTTCTTGTAGACACCTCCTGCCCCCATGGAAGAGATTCCCAAACCCACATATTCACTCAACCAGGTTTAAATAAGACAGTTTTCTTAAATAAGTTTTCAAAAGTTTTTCTTTTTTAAAAATGATTAAATTTAAAAATTTTTTTAATCTTTGAATATGTTTACTTCTTTTAATTTCTGTAATATACAAATTATTTTTATTCTAAAATATTGGCTTCTTGTTTAGAATATTCTGTTTAATATTATTCTATTCTATTCTATTCCCTTCTATTCTGTTATATTCTGTTTTTTAGTCTGTTCTAGAATATTCTGTTTTTTATTAATACATTCTATTCTATTGCCTTCTATTCTAAATATACTTACGATCAGGTTTCAAGTCAAAACATCTAAACTTTTCTTTTGAATATATTAATATGCAGTTTACTGAATTATAATCTCAATTTACAGAAAATGCCATCTAGGGAATTTCGAGTAATGACTGTTTAAGTACTGCCTAAAAAAAGAGGTTTTGAAGTGAAATCATTAAAAGTCATTTCAAAAAGAATTTTTCAGGCTGTATCTAGTCAGTCAAGCAGTTTGCTTAAGGCTTTGAATTTTTACTACAATATGGCTTATAACTGTTTATCAAAAGTTACAAAATTTAGGATTCCTGCCATTAACAATTTAAACACCATCGCAAAAATCCAAAAGATGCATATCAATGTCTTTAAACGAAATTTACGTTTGATTTTAGACCTATAAATGCACTTGTATTCTGAGATATCTTAAAATGGATTTGCGGAAAATTCCCTGGGTGGCATTTTTGAAAATTGAGATTATAATTCAGTAAACTGCATAATAACATCTTCTGAAGAAAAAGTTTAGGTGTTTTGACTTCAAACCTGATGGTTCATTTTCAGCAGTATGTGTTCTTTTCTTTTCTTTTCTTTTCTTTTCTTTTCTATTCTATTCTATTCTATTCTATTCTATTCTGTTTGATATTATTCTACTATATTCTATTCTATTCTATTCCCTATTATTCTAAAAAGTTTTTTTTAATGTTTATTTTTTTAGCCTATGCCAACTATAAAAAATGTCAGCAGCCTATTCTCGTCAAGCCGTTTGGCCGGTCAGAGGGGATATATAATATGAATGTCTTGTTTTATTATGTAGATATTCTATTCTTAATTATTCTGTTTGATATTATTCTTTTCTATTCTGTTCTATTCTATTTGCTTCTATTCCAGAATATTCCGTTTGATATTATTCTTTTCTTTTCTGTTCTATACTATTTGCTTCTATTCTAGAATATTCTGTTTGGTATTATTCTTTTCTTTTCTGTTCTATTCTATTTGCTTCTATTCTAGAATATTCTGTTTGGTATTATTCTTTTCTTTTCTGTTCTATTCTATTTGCTTCTATTCCAGAATATTCTGTTTGATATTATTCTATTCTGTTCTATTCTATTCTATTCTAGAATACTCTGTTTAATATTATTCTATTCTATTCTGTTCTATTCTATTCTATTCTAGAATACTCTGTTTAATATTATTCTGTTCTGTTCTATTCTATTCTATTCTAGAATATTCTGTTTAATATTATTCTATTCTGTTCTATTCTATTCTATTCTAGAATACTCTGTTTAATATTATTCTGTTTATCTAGGTGAAAAAGATAGATCAGTATTCCCGACGTATATTTCCCTGCATCTATGGTCTCTTCGTTCTATACTTCTTCATTAGATATCATGCCATAGAGGGAGCTCTTTCTATTGGGTAAATAAAAAGATAAACAGTTTACTTGATTCCTATTGGTTGAATTTTGCATTACAACAGTTAACTTGATTTCTATTGTTTGAATTATGTTTAAAACAGATTAATTAATTTCTTTTGGTTGAATAACGCATTAAAACAAATCTATTGGTTAAATATTGTAACAAAACAAATTACTTGATTCCTATTGGTTGAATTATGCATTAAAACTGATTAATTGATTTTTATTGCTTGAATTATGCAGTAAAACTGATTACTTGATTTCTATTGGTTGAATTATGCATTAAAACTGATTGATTTATTGCTATTTGTTTAATTATACATTAAAACTGATTTATTTATTTCAATTGGTTGAATTATGCATTAAAACTGATTAATTTATTTCTATTGGTTGAATAATGCGTGAAAACAGATTACTTCATTGCTATTGGTTGAATAATGTCAGAAAATAGATTACTTAATTTTATTTTGGTTGATTTATGTTGCAATTTATTTCAATTTGTATGGCCGCTAAGTTATTCGGTATGAGACGTCTTTAACAATTTTCTCCTTATAGACGCAACAGATAGAATAAGATTAGTAGCGATCAAAAGCGCTTTTTTATTGCATTAAGCCTATACCCCCTTTCATTTTTCGCAAGCACTCCCTTTAACTCTTTGTCCTTAAGTCTACAATTCTACTTCTCACAGTTTCATTATTTCACCCTATATATATATATAGAATACAGATTATTTTTATTGAAAAATGAGAACTTAATTGAAATAAGGTTTTTTTGGGTTGAAAAATGATTGTTGCATCTTACACTTTAATTCTATTTAGATTTACAATTGATGAAGGTTTATTTTTTAGAAATGGCGACGATTGATCTTCATGTGCTGAGAGTTATAATCGTAATAAATGAAATCCCTTTTATAATATCTTTTCTTTTTTTGTATTTATTTTCATTTTATATCCATTCCTTCTTTTCATTTTCCCCAAAAATTTTCTAATCTTAAATTCATTTCTTTCTTTATTGTACTGCCAGTATGTGAACATTTTCTTGGATCTATTATTTATTATAATTGATTAATTATATCGATTATATTTATTTGATGATTAATTATATCAATATCGATTTTATTTGATTTAGAGATTGATTTTATCGATTAAATTTAATTCTAAATTGATTATATCGATAATGAATAATTTAAAAATTTATTTTGTTGATTATATTTGATTTATAATTGATCATATTGATTATAATTAATTTATGAATAATTGGTTATATTGATTTTATTGGATTTAAAATTGATTTATCGATTACATGTGATCTATAATTGAGTTTATCGATTATATTTGATTTATGAATTAAAGATTATATCGATTATATTCGATTTAAAATTGATTAAATTGATTATAATTGATTTAGACTTGATTTGTCTAAATAAATTACCCAGATATAATTGTAAAATTAGTCCTCATCCTATGACATAGCTCTCATACCTTATCTATGTACAATATACATGTCGTTTTATCTTTTGTTAAATATTCCGATTCCTCTGATTTCTATACCCGTCCTTGGCCCTGTTAAAAAGTGTAAGTAGTCCCTTTTTATACTGTATATATAAGCACCAAATATATGTTTATTATATAATAATATTTAATTATTTTATTATTTATANATCACAAAATTGATGATTATATTAACAGTACAAGTATAAAGCAATTAGGTGGAAAATAGCTCTTGGCTGTTTTGATTATTTTTTCCACCTAATTTTAATAATAATAACAAAACATTTCAATTAAATAGATTTAAGGAGAACTATTAGACATCAGGGTGCGAATTTATCTTATGCAAAATAGTTTATACATAAATTCGAATAATTAGAGTTTAAAGTAATTTTCTGACATGTACACAACAAATATCAAAGCATATTAAAACATATCTAATTAGTTTTACACGAATAGGAATTCGGTTTATAACACATTGTCATGTAATTTTCAAAAAGAGAATTATTATCTTATTAACCGTCAAACTAAAAGTCTGAGTTTGCTGCATTATTTTTTTATATATCAGCAAAAAAATTCTTAAAAGTATATTTGCAATATTTTGCATTTTTTTTGATTGATTGGCTAATAATCAACGTTAAAAGTGTAAATATTTTTCCGGGATCTCGACTCAAATTCTTTTTTGTAAACTTTAACAAATATATAAGTAAAAAAGTAAAAAAAACAAAATTGTTTTTTATTATCATTGACACTTCAGTTGTCTAATCAAGAATTATTGAGATATCCATAATTTCTCTCTAAAAACGTGTTTATTTTCAATTGAGGTTTCTCTATAAAAGTGACTGTTGGGTTAGTTGCTAAACAATTGTGAAATTTTAAGAATTAATCTCTTTTCAAGCTGGAAAAAGGAAGAAAACATTATTGATTAGATTAAAATTAAAAGGATCCGTTGCTAATCGGACATGTGGAGGGAAACTTAAACACGTGGTAAGTCCCTTTATACTGTTGTAATCTAGAACAGATTTGGAATACCTTAGAATTCGTGTATATATTTAAATATAGACATATATATATATATAACATGCTGCCAGCGCTCTATATAATGAATCAAAGCAAAAAGGAACGGCAGTGCACAAAGAACCTTACAAGTAGAAAGACTTATAATACAAATATAATCTTCTACCTTAGGTCAAGTGCAGCTCCCAAACTTATATCGATTCATAACTCAGACTATTAACATAATATAGCCTGATAAATATATTCGACTGTGAATAGCTAGTTATAGATATTTATATTAACATTGCAAGCAAGGACATATATAATTCTGTATAGCTAAACCCAATACATAGCTCCGTAGAATTAATAGCTCCGCAACATTAATAGTTCCGCAAAGCTAATAGCTCCGCAAAGTTAATAGCTCCGCAAAGCTAAATAAGGTAGCTCTATAATGTTAAGCAAGATCAATAGCTTAGTAAAGTTATATATTTATATATATAACCAATCTTAGATAGTTCCTAATTATACTAATAGCAAAGTAACAAAGATACCATAAAAGTTGTTAAAGCTTTATTATAAGCAAAGATGTCTGGATTCTTTAAGTACATCGATCACTGTCCAAATGTTGCTGGATCTCTTCCGGACGATGTAACGGAAGGAGACAGTGACTATGGATTAGAGTTAGAGGCATTGTTCATCTCTGATAATTCCACTGAGATAATAACTGCAACCATAGAGATAATCACTGTTCCATCCTCAGACGACGAACCTGAGGATTTGGAAGCAGGTATTCCCGCCCTCTCTGCTGCAGAGGTATCTGAGAGCTTCAGAGATGAAGGGGATGGTGAGGCGGATGGTGGGAAGGATAGACTGGATGAAAGAGAGGCAAAGGAGAGGAAGTCCCAGCAGGGGGATGACGGAGCTGTTACTGTAGAGGTTCCTGGCCTGNATACAAACTATACAACCGACTTTGCAAAGTGAACCCCCCCCCTCTCTCCTCTTCTTAATGTAACGTATAAAGAATATTCCAGACTACAAGCTACAATAAAAAGAATGAAATTGTTGTTAAGACAGACTTAAAAAAAAGGCCTTTGAAAAAAACCTAACATTAATTGATAACACTTGAACTTTAACTATATATATGGAAAGATGGTTAAATTTAATATCATTAATACCTACATTCCTGACTTCATGTTTCCTGAGATGATTTGTTTGTTGAATACAATAATTCTTTTCTAAACCAGATCCCGGACCCGCTGGTTAAGATCCTCTAATCCTTCAATCTAGGATTGTAATAGGATTACTAATGAATTAATGAATAAAATTGTTGTTCATTGTCCGAATCTAGTTTTAACAAAATTAAACACCATTCAGGAATGTAGATTACTTGGAATATGCACCCCAACCATATTCTAAATTTGGAAATCTAAAAATACATTTTAATGTTTTTTTTTAAAAACAATTCAAAACATTTTTATCTTAGCTAAACTTCTCTTTTAAAATATGCACTCCCAAACATATCCTTGAAAGAAAGTTCATTTTATGTTTTAACAATTGAAAATAAATCTTAATCCAAGTTTAAGTGAAATTTTATAATCTCGAGAAAATTGTTTTATTTAGTTAGAATATGACAACCAAAACATATTTTGAATTTAAAATATAATCGACAGGAAGATACAATTTCGAGATAAATACAATATTATCTTAATATTATTGGCCTGCTTAAATTTTGTACTCAAACCATGATCAAGCAGCTAAAGGATAAAAAGTTATTTTTACAATTTGAGAAAATCAATATCTAATTTGTTGGATTTTTAGAATCAAGTCTTATTTTAGAATATGCAATTAAACATATTTTATCATAAAACTGCTTAGAATGTGTAAACGTCTGTGCATATTTTGATTCTGAAAATGTTAGTTTTATAATTCAGATATAAAAAAATCTTTTTTAATTCAGAATGATTGAGAAGTTATGTTTGGAAGTTTTGAGTTGCAATGATGTGTAGACGTAAACACAGTTGCAAAATTGCAAAATTGCAAAGTTATAAAAACAAAACTTGAAATATTGAAACTATGAATCAGCGCTACCTAATCTTAATTATTAAGATCATTAAACAAAATCAACTAATTAGAACGTTGAAATTAACACCTTAGAAACCAATCTAGCCAAGGGTTGAATATAAATCCAGAGCCAGTATTGGTCCTAAGAATCAAACAATAAGGGCGGGGCAAATGGGAGCAAGGAAAACTCTCCGCACATGCACCGGGGCAGACCCGGAGTTTAAGACGCGCTACCAGAGGTCTACGCACGTACACAAGGAAATTCAAAATCTTAAGCCTTTGTTACAATCCATAGCTAACAGGGAAAATGAGAAGGAACCTTGAGTCGAGCTTTAAATCCTCAGGGAGCAAGACCTAATTTGCTCTGAGCGGACTTCAGAATCAAACGCAATTTTGTATTGTATTAAATAGACATGCATACCTGTGTCCTTACTCAAACATAGGACCAAGTTAGATGTCTATCCTCATCCTATAACAAAATAATAATTAAAACATATTTTAACAAATCATAAAAGAAGTTGAATTTTCATTACAGACTTTAATAATTCTTAAGTCCTAGAAACCCGACCCTAGGCAGATAAAAGTCTAACATTTGATCTACTAAATAATAATAAAATTATAATGAACACTAGAGAATCCCAACTTTAGGTTTATTAGTTTTACACATAATGCCCAGGACAAATGATAACGTCCAAGGGGCCGAAGGTGGAGGTGGATCAGAATCAGATAGGCTTACCCCTCTGAACCCAGATCAGCTGGATTTACAGTTTAGAACCCCTGAGATGGGAACTACTTCCTCATCGGAAAATACGGGAACCGGGACAATGAACCCGGCTCTTAGTGCGGCTTTAAATAGACCGAGCACAGCTTATAACCCAAATGGAGGTTTTCCGAGGACAGTTAATCCCGGGCTTGTGACAATTCCCAAACATAGGAACCAAACCAACGTTCCTACGTATGTGGAAAATACAACCCAATCCGGATCCGGATCTTGGTTTACTACGATTGATATATATCCTCCAGAGAAGAAAAAAATTCAGTTTTAGATCAAATACCTCGAACCCCAGGGTATGATAGAAAAAGAGGAATAGACAAATAAATCCCTGATAATACTAAAATCCTATTCTCAAAGTTGAAGTTTTCTTATGATAAACAAGACAACTTTGGAGACTTCTTGATCAAGATAGGGGGATATACGTGAACTCTAGACTTAAGGGATGTTTGTTTCAAAGATATCATGTCTTAGACATTCCGCCCCCCTTGTTCATTTGTGGTTTCAGAGATGGAACCTTCTATGAAACCTTACCGTTAAATGTCAAGGAAAATTTAATGTAAAGGAACGTTTACATAAAGTTAACCTGTTCATAAGGTCATTTCCCCAAGGGAAACCAAATTTTGTAGAAGAAACCATTAGGGGTCTTCATAATGACATATTGAAAACAAAGATTTGGGATTTTTGAAGTTAAGATTGAAACTTTTGATGCTTTACGCAAAATAGTGCAAACAAGCGTTAAAATATTTAATCAAGAACTATAGCTGTGGAATTAAATATCATTGGTACAGATATCCGCCTCACAAATTACAGTTATGTCAACACTAGTTCATCCAAAGACAGGAAGACTAGATATGAAGTAAATGTATGGAACAAGAGTGAAGAACTGTATTGCAATTAATAAATTTAAAAACTTTTTAAAAGTTTAAGAAATAAAACGTGAAAATGAAAGATAACCGGTTTTGTTAATGCTGGAAGGCAGCCCACAGAGGCGGACATTACTCGTGTGGCAATAATGGTCATTTTAGTATGAATTGTCACAGAAAAATTACCTGGACAATGTATCCATAAAGTGGATAAGCTGAACCCATGGAATAAAAAGATAGTCCGGATTCTTCTAGTTCAGAGCCAGATCTAGAAATAATTATGTTAATTATAAAAAGAAAGATAAAAAAATACCCGGGATTGTAAACAATAAAAATATTTTTGTTTATGAATATTCTATACCAAGCCGCAAGTAAAATTAAAGCTTTTGCTGACTCAAATATAAACAATAATCATTAAGTCTTAGAAAACCAACTCTAGACAGATAAAGTTTAATATTGGTCAGTATATTAGGATTGAATATTAGGATCGTTTTAAAAGTTATCTTAAAATAGCAGTGATTAAACATAAAACTCCAGCTTTAAACTGATCACTGAACAATCCAAGTCCAGTAAACTATAGATAATACCAAATACTGAAGTTACCCTTTCTAAAAACTGAAACTTTTGATTTTTGTTTTATTTATAAAAAAGTGTGTATGCAAATAAACACCAAGATATTTTGCATCTATAAAATACAAATTGTGAAATTGAAAAAGAATATTTGATATAGTTGGTTACCAATTAAAACTATTTAATGACAACCACCGTTAATAAGGATTCTAATCACAAAATATTTTACATTTTGATTAATATAATAAAACTAATATTTATCATCCGACTTGAGGGATATAAAATAGTAAAATTCCATCCAAAATCAGGGAAAATTATCATTTTATTTCTCTTACCAAAACAATAGCTAAGAAATTGAAATGAAATTCCACAATATATTACCTTGCTAATAAATTACGTTCGTCAGAGACCGGTCAGATCGCCTAAAAAAAAGGTGATCCTTAACATAGATGGCCAGAAACTAGATTTGGTTAATGGTATACTCCGTTAATTAAAAATTCTAATGATGAACTCTTTGTAATTTTAGCTGTTAATTTAAAAGTGAACACAGAAATAGAGTATTTTCAATCCAAAGAAAACTCTAATTTTCTAAACTCCAATAAATACTGCTTTTAAATGTAGCAAAGAGATAATTTTAGTTCCTTGTCTTAAGTACACATTATATTGTAAAAAGAGAACATAAAAGTATATTTTGTACGCTGACATGTGAATAAGAAACTTGAGCTTGAAACCTACTAAAATTAAACCAAAACTGAACCACTCAACCCCGGCCCAAGTACACCAACTGCTGAACACATTTTATACGTTTTTAATTTTTTTCCATATACAACATATGTCAGTATAAATTGAAAATGGGTGTGGCGCCGACCCCGCCCCGCGTCGCTAAATGCGAGGCAGAAAGACAATAAGTTGACGTGTTTATTGACAAATCCTCCTGCCCCCTGACCACCCCCATGGTCTCGCCCCCCCCCCAGGCTCCGCCCACCCTGTTCAAAGTGCACTGTACGTATATTTGACTAATCTCTAACCATGTATTGTATGAATTACAACGTTCACTTAGGCCAGAGCATCGGTTTTAAAAATTAAGAAAAATTATATAAGTCGGCTTGTCATATCCATTTAATTTAAATCCCTTACTGCGTTCGGTATTAATCTTGAATTTAAACCTTAAACAAACAAACAAAAGTAATATCCCGCATATTAATTACACAAGGCAGTTGCATAAATAGATAATTTTTGTCGATAATTGTTTAGCATTCTCTATCCAGGTCTATTGGAAAAGAAACGTACTACAATTTTACAATTTCTCATGATGATGAAGGTGTATCCGCAAAATAAGTTTAAATTCATGACTGTCTATAACTGAAACAAAAATTTTAACATACTGCATGTTTCCTTTCACAATAAAAGATAAATGTTGAAAGAAAATTGATTTTTGAAAACTTTTAAAAAGCAATATAATGTCCATCCCTAAATATAAAAAGTTTGAAAATGTGTATTTAACACTTGAAGAATAAATCCTCATCAGGTTTGATTGACAGGCAGCGACTACAGCGTGGGAAAAAGGGATAAAAAGGGAATACTCTGGATTTTTCTAGAGGAACCTAGATTCGAAAATGTTCTATAAAAGACACTATCATATCTTACTAAAAGTCACTTAGAGCCCAGCCAAAAAAAAATATAAAAACGTATAGTTTGTAAATTGAAGGATGAACTAATATGCTGCCATAAAGTTACAAATATTATCATTTCATTACATCAATACATGAAAATGATTAATTCGATTTTAAGAAAATAAATGGGAGAAAAATAATAACAAAAAAAAAGAATATAAGGGGTAGAGGTTTAATGTGCATTTGAAAGATATTATAGTTGCAAATATTATCATTTTATTATAAAATACAAGGCAAACCAGCAAACTAATAGAAGAAGAGGGTAGAATAATCTCGACCAGCCACTGTAATCTAATGGTCTCACACGCTCTAAAGCAAAAATCGTTGAGAATTTTGCCAATTACTTCTAAAAATTTTAAGCTAACACCAAGTGCTTTACAGTGCTAAAATGTATATGTAAAGGTCTACAGAAAAGCATAAGTGAGTTAGAGCGAATAAAATCTAAGCTTAGGGCGTCGCGACACTTCAAATTCAACCCTGTCTTAAAAATTGATGAGACTGTTTATGAGCAGGCTGAATCTATGTGATGATCAAGTATTAAACCCTTGTCCACTTTCAAGCTTCAGAAGGTCTCGGCTTTGCTCTCTCCTTCAAATAAACTCACTTTTTGCCCCATAGTGTGAAAATGTGAATAGTGAATGAAAAATAAAGAAAAATGGGATGAAATGAAATGAATAGAATTGACGGCTTTGAAAGATTAATTAGACGGATGATTGAAAGCTGAATAGAAACGGCAGTGCACAAAGAACCTTACAAGTAGAAAGACTTATACATAGATATAATCTTCTCCCACACGTTCCCCCTCAATGGATTAAACCCTACAAAATATGCATAAGGGTCTTTTTTATATTTTCTAATCTTTATATCTTTGCAACCTGATATTTAGATTGAGCGTTTACATTTCAAACAATGATTGCTGTTATGTACAGTGCTCGGCGATACTTTCAATTCACAAAGACGACATTTTATTAATAATGCATTGAAAACTTAGAAGCTTGATTACATGTTTATGGATTATTATATTACAATTTGAGGCAAATATTTTTGCGACAGATTTGAGGATTTAAATTGACAAAATTCAAATCGCCCTAAATTGAAAAGATCGCGCAAAGTATTTTAAGAGGTGTTATTGAGCTTTCTGAATTCCTGGTATTCATAGAATTTGATCAACACTGTAAACTTCCGTTACGTTTATTGTCATTTTTGTTTGTATTGAAGTTAACATGTCGGGCTGACCAAAACTTGTGTTTATTTACAAACAAATAAAATATGAACTACGGAAACATCGGGATATCCATTCAATAAAGCTGACATTTCTTCTACAACAATGATCGGGGCTGTTAACCCTGTGTGCCCTGGCAGCTGGAATTCTTGAATGGTCATCTGCCCCCTTAGTTTATTTACATTTAGANGCACATCGGTCTAAAGGTTTATCAAATCATTTCTCTTTGTCAGATTGCATTATTAGCCAGAAATAATTTTGCAAATGTGACAACAGATGTTATTATTTCATACTTTCAAGTATATTTCTGATTGTTACGTAAATTTTGAATGTTTTGAATAAAGGACAATTTGACTGTTTACTCTTTTAGTTTTAGTCCCACCCCAGGCCAAAATGCTGTCCTTTGTATTTTTCCTTTAAAGGGAGTGTTTGCGAAAATTGAAAGGGGGTATAGACTTAATGCGATAAAAAAGCGTTTTTGATCGCTACTAATCTTACTTCTATCTGTTGCGTCTATAAGGAGAAAATTGTTAGACGTCTCTGCTGCACTGTGAACGATTTCATAAATCGTTAACAAAATTGACAAGACGTAAATGCACTTAATAATACAAAAGACCATTAACAGCTGCACTATTAACGATTTGAAAACCCGTTATCGATTTTTGAAGCTTTGCGCCAAAATAAACCGTTAAAGAATTGTTAATAGTGTAATAGGCAGTTAATGACTGGATCCTTTACTACTGTTGAAGATTTTCCATTAATGCCGTTAATAAAATTGAGATCGTAAACTAAGGCTAATTTAAGAAAAAGGTAAATGCTGTTAACGAAACGAATGTTCTTGTGCTTACTTTTTAAATGAGCAGCTAACAAAGATTTCTCTTGTTTAACGGTAAGCGTTAAAGGGAGTGTTCGCGAAAAATGAAAGGGGGTATAGGCTTAATGCGATAAAAAAGCGCTTTTGATCGCTACTAATCTTACTTCTATCTGTTGCGTCTATAAGGAGAAAATTGTTAAAGACGTCTCATACCGAATAACATGGCGTCCATACAAATTGAGAAATTTGCAACATACGACTTAGACCATAAAAAAATCTATTTAATTTCAAACAAATCATTCAGATATTGCAACCTATAGTCATCGATTATCTTTCGCCACATTTATATATAGTTGATTTTTCATAATATGTTTTAATTGTTATGATCTGAGAGTTACATTTATTCCTGTTTCGAGGATTTTTGGTAAGGAAGACGACATTTTCATATTTTCCAGGAATGTTCGAAAACAAGTTGTAAGCTAAATATTATTTAAAAAACAAAATCAAAACTAGTAAGAAATATCAAATATATACAAATGTAGCGAAAGATAATTGATGACTATAGGTTGTAATATCTGAATGATTTGTTTGAAATTAAATTGATTTTTTTACGGTCTAAGTATTATGTTGCAATTTCCTCAATTTGTATGGGCGCTAAGTTATTCGGTATGAGACGTCTTTAACAAGTTTCTCCTTATAGACGCAACAGATAGAAGTAAAATTTGTAGCGATCAAAAGCGCTTTTTTATCGCATTAAGCCTATACCCCCTTTCATTTTTCGCGAACACTCCCTTTAACAAAATGGATAAAAATTGGAACATGTCCAGCCCAATTATATACATCTATTAAAAAATACTAATACAACATTATGCATTTGTTGGTCAATTATTTAGATAAAGTATGAGAAATAGTATTATTTTATTCATGAAACTATCCAGGTCCCAAGATTCAACAAACTAATCGTCTCAAACTCTAAATCT